GGTAATAAACCGATTAGTTGACATAGGCGCCCAATTAAATAGGGATCCAACTAAGTCATCCAAATTGATTTAATCGTTACGGTGTTTTAATGTCGAGCCTAGGCGATTGATTAATCGACTAGACGCCCACTTTTTTTTTAACACAACATATACGAGCTTCTTTTTTTGGGGGGGTCAAATACGAGCTTATCTGAAAAGCACTTATTCAACCATGTTGCAAACCATTTTTAATTGTTTTTCTGGTCAGTGATTTTTAATTGATTATTAGTTATATGTTTTGTATTTGAAATCTAAAAAAAAAAATCTAAGGATATCAGCTCACGTGTTGAAATCATTTGTCATTGTAATTTTTTTATCATCAACAAAATGCATTATTGTCTTTCGTATATTGTTTTTGATTAGTGATGTAGTGATACTTTAAAACCTAACTAACAGTAATCGGAGTCATTTACAAAATCTTATCATTCTTTTTTTTTGGTAAAAAGTCTTCTCAGTCTTTTATATCAAAATATGTTATTATATACATATATTTATGTTAGTAAATCAAAAATAAACATACACTAAGCCAAGAATTGACCTTGCGTTAGTAAACATAGAGAAATTAGATCAGTTATTACACAACATAAAAGAAATTGTGTAGTACGATGTGGAATTCAATACTATGTTTCAGTTAATCCAGCAATAAACATGAATACATGATAGATACATGTAGAAATCTACTAATTAATTAGCATAATTGAATGTGGACGACGTGGTCCAGAGCTTTGCCTGTTTACCTTTAAGCATTACTTTATTAGTCTAATTATAATACTCACACGGTTGGTTTCACAAACCGAGACAACTCAAATTCAAATAAAATCAATTTTAAACGGCGGACCTAATTATAGTGTTTAAGAGATAATTAGAATTTGATTCGCGGTTTAAAAACGTGATTTTTTTTTTTTAAAAAAAACTTTTTTAATAAAATTTGTATGTTAATAATTTAATATAGGATTTGGGCATAATATCTACATCTAAAAAATAGACCAAGAACCGAGCCAAAATTAAGATATTGAACCGATTGGATGCAGCCTATATATCCGAATGGATCCACTTTTCAAAACCCTAAAAATTAATACCGGACATGAACTGTATCGAGAACATAATGAGTATCCGTACATATATATATAAGTTAGAAATTAACTAAAACACTATTAATACCCAAAATAGAATAAATCAAATATATTAATTATTTTAGGTATTTATGAACAGAAATAGGTGTTTTGGATACAAAATACCCAAATAAAATTGTATATCAGATAGTATCCATAATATCTTTAAAAGTAATTAATATTATTAATTAACCATAGATATATGAATGACATAGCCTTGTAAATAACTTGAAAACAAATGATAAAATTCTATTAGAGATTCTGTTTTAATAGTATAGATCATACAATCCTGAGACACTTAAGCTCAACACCGTATAACATGCTAAGATGGGCATTATCTATTAAATGAAGATACCAATGTCTTTTTCTATATTTTTTTGTTAATGTGGAAAATTTGTGTGTTTTCATTCCTTAAGCAATATAAGATGATGATAAATTAGGCAGTATATACATATATTTTTCTTTTAAACACTGTATAACAACTACATCATCATATAATATCTAGTTCTATTATATATGTCGATCAGCTACCTTCTACTTTGATAACCCTTAAACATTGACTTTGTGAACACATGTTTTTGGTTGATTAATGCCACAAGATTGTCAACTTTTACATCAACCTCCTCATTAGACCATTCATGTGTAGTCTTGCCAATAGGTCGTACATGATTTTGATCTATAATATCTTTGACATACATTTTCGTATACTAAATGTTAACAAATCTGATAAGATAAATACAAAACCAGTATTCATTTTCTAGAACCAGATGAAATCTTCATATAAAACAAGTTTCATGCAAACAAATAACTATTTGAAGACGATTTTAGCCGTAAGAAGATCAGCATAAACGTACCGCAGATTTTTGTCAACATTCATGGCATGTCTGGGGCTGAGTGTCTGCTTCTTCCCAAGATTTTGCTTACATTCTTCATCATCTTTGTCTATGTTAGATTCTAAGAATGCACATGCCTAGAAAAATTCAGTAAGAGAGATAGTCACTTCAATCATTACCAACTGTAAAGCTAACACTAACCATTGGACAACAATGGTGTTATGAGATAATGTAATCTTGTTTCTCTCTTTAATGTTATCCATCAGAATATCAAATGCCAACTTACCCCATGAGAATGCGATAACTCTTCCAGATCTTCAACCGCCCTATGTGTTCTTTTATAATCTTCATCTTTATATTAGTGACCAGTAGAAAAGAGTACATGATAGCAAGACATCAAACTTAATTAGTATTTTCTTGTCTGTAACTTTCTTCCCATGCACATTTTAGTGGCAGATTTATCTCTAACAACTTCTACTTTCCCAAACAACTTTGGCCAATACAGTTTTTTTGGTGATGTTTTTCTTTATCTTCATCTTTGATGTCTTAAGAAACTTACCACATGGGAAACCAATGACGATTACAAACTCTCGCAAAGAAAACCTAATCGAGTTTCCAGCAAATTGGAACCAAACTTCATGTTTTTTCTACACTTTCAACTATCTGGACATTACATACCTCGCAAATCTCTAAACTAATGCTTTTTTCAACGAATTTACCAAATAACAAATCACGAATCATCTGGATATCGTCTTCGTCAAGTGCGTTGAAATTTGAGTTGGTGGTCCTCGAAAATTGGTAAGTTAGAACCCTGACCCCCCCCCCATCGATTCTTCTCCCAGAGCAAACATCATGTCAAGTAGTATCTCAGCTTTATCTTCTGGTGGGTCGAGTATTTTTACAAGACGAAAAGAAACCATGTTTGAAGCAGTAAAATTTTGCTAAATGAAATTTTGTTTAATGAAGAAAAAACTGAAAGTTGTGTCAAGAGAGAAGATAGTAATGAATTGTAGTATTTTTCAATTTTCACTTAATAAGATAGCGACGTGCTGCTATACTGAATAGTGTCATGATTTTGCAATATCTTTGTGTCATACATATATTGTGGTAAAAGGGAAATAGTGACACTGATTTTGATGTTAAAATTAACTCAAATTTAGTATTTTAGTGTCATATTTTAATCCCCAATAATGATACTAAATTTTACACCAAAAGTAATATTCTATATTACTTTATGTTTTAAATTTTAATTTTTCAATATTTTATTTATTTTTAATTGATAAAAAATTATTTTAAAGTATTATTATATTTTTATTATTTGTAAGTGATAAATGATAATAATTTAGTGACTTATTTTGAAAATAAAATAATTTTTTTTAATTATGTGAAAATGAATTTAAATTCAAATAATATAATATATTTATGTTTAGTTACAAATTTTTATAGTAATTGACATATATTATTTGATGAAACATAATAAAATATGTATTTTAAATATTTGGTGTGATGAATAGTGTTACAGAAATTTAGTGTAATACTATTCGCATTACACCAAATTTGGTGAAATAATATTTATTTTGGTGTCTTGTTAGAAATGAAACTACACCAAATTTGATGTTTTGGTGTCTTGTTAGAAATTGTTTAAAAATATGAATATCTTAGGATTTCTATTTACCTAATACTCATTTCATATACAAATGATTGATGTTTTAACTTCTTATTGTATATAAGATTGATGTTCTAGTTTTAATTAACCCATTTTAAAAATTAAAACACAATCTGAAATATGAATAGTAAAACTTTACTGAGAAGCAACAAAAACTAATAAACTAAAATATGTATTTAATTTTTGTTAATGCGTAAAATTTACAAATCCTAAAACATCAATTTTTAAAATTCAGAGGGAGTATGATTTATAGTTTACCTTATCTACGACAAATTCCCTAAACTTGAATGGGTAAAAACAAATCAAACTAAAAATGGTATCAACTCATGTCCTAAAAATTGGCCGTCTAGATGATAGGCGACACTCATCCACCATAATTTACGCCAAATCTGTCTAAAAAATTGGATGTCCGACTTTATTCCGTTTAAGCCGCTTATATAACCATCTCAACTCCTAAAATGACAGTTTAACCGCATAGGTGACCGTCTAATTTATTGTTTTTATTTTTTAAAAATATTTTTATTTATTTTTTTGATATGAAATATTATATTGTATTAAGTTTATATTTTTATATTTGTATGTTTTATACATTTTTTAAAAAATTATTAATTTAATAAAAACTAAAATTAACATGTTTTATAATATATTCCTTCCATTTCAAAAAGTTAAATATTTTAGTTTTTTTACATATATTTAAAAAATATAAAATTTTGATTACCAATACATTATTTATTAAAGATAACAATTTTTTATATTTTTAACTAATGAAATTTTAAGAAGCACAATTATTTTTTTTGGAATCTATAATTTTTCATTAAAATATATATCAAAAATGAAAAAAATCTATCAATTTGAAACAAATATTTTTTTAGAATGTTAATCTTTTTAGAAAATAGAAAGTATTAAACAATCTAAAATTCCGCTACGCATAGTTTCAGTTTAATCTCTAACTTTTTTGCTAGATGATAACCCAACCTCCGATTCTAACAGGGGAATCAACGCATCTAATTTTATGCCCTATAGGCTCAAATTTGTATATTTTGGAGCTGGTCGATTTCGATTAAAAGCTTCCATGTTCAGTTTTACCCTTTTGACTTTTCCCCTTTCTCACTCTTAATCCTTAATTACAGAAGTGCACGAAACGCCAGAAAACATAATCACAAATTCACCCTAATGGCCAAATCAATTATTTCCCGCCCAAATTTAACATTTCCTATTTGCCCATTCACCCTTCAACTTTCTCATTACTCCCATTGTGCCGTATTCTTTTCCATCTTTTCCTTCGAATCCACATTGAAAATAACTAAACATTTTAAACCAATCCAAAAACCTCTTCCTGCTTTTAAAGCTTCAAGTCCAATGATCAACGGCGGAGTACCAGTGTAGAGACGGCGGTTCTTCATCGGAGAAAAAACCGCAAGCCTCTTCTCCACTCAGAAAGTCGTCGTGATCCTCCGTCTGCTCCATTTTCACAGACTGTAAGAAACTACCGCCGGGAACCGTCGTCGGAGCCACCGTCACGTTAGAGCTACTCTCCTCGTTCAACACCGCGCTCGAGTCGCTACTGTCCGACGATCCAGCGGCGGCGACGGAAGCTTTTAATGGAAGAAGATCCCGGAGATCCGTAAAACTCCGGTAATTGAAACTATCCGAATGTTCTAGAAGCTCCGGAGGAGACGACGGTGGTGGTTCTGTGATATTATTATTCTCCGGCAACGAAACTTCCTCCTCCTTAACCGAAACATCACTCTCCATAGTCACGTTGTTGTTCTCTTCCTCTTCCACTTCTTCTCCTCCGTTAAGCTCAGACTTCAATTTACTAATCTGTATAAAAAAAAAGGTTTCAATCTTTCAACATAAAGTTTCAATTTTCATCATAAAGTTTTAATGTTTCAACAGAAAGTTTCAATTTTCATCAAAAAGTTTCAATCTTTCAACAAAACGTTTCAACCTAAAGCAGAAAAAAGTTTGATTATTTTTCAAAAAAAAAGTTTGAATTTTTTGTTACCTCTTGAAGAAGAGATTCATTGTCACGGCGGAGGGAATCGAAGTTGTTGCGGAGAGAATCGTATTGGGTTTTAAGAACACCGTAATCTTTCTCAAGCTGTTTTGTCTTCCACCGTGCACGGCGGTTCTGAAACCAGACAGCTACTTGGCGAGGTTGAAGACCAAGTTCTTGTGCTAACTTCACTTTCCTCTCTGGCTCAAGCTTGTTCTCTAACTCGAAGTTCTTCTCCAAGGCTTTGACTTGGTTAATGCTTAACCGTCTCTTCTTCTCAGATTGTCCTCTTTCCTCAATTATGGCTTCTTCTTCTTCCTCGTCGTAACCTTCAAGCATCGACTGAAATTCTCTCCCGTATCTTCTTGGACTCAGCTGATCTGTTTGCCAAATTGAGAAATTTAAGGTAAAAAATTTTGAAATTGAAATTAAGTGCTTGTTAGAGAATTAACTTTAAAATCATGGGTTTAAGAGTTAGAAACCTGTAGAAGATGTAGGACATAAAGAGATGAGACCACCTACTGAATCTGAACTTCTTAATCTCTTCATCATCAGACAACACTTAAAAAGGGTCTTTCAGAAATCTTTGTTTACTACAAGATTGCTACTTGATAATCTTGTCTCTCTTGTAACACATTAACAAAAGCACAGAAATTAGAGAAAGGCACAGAAATTAAGACAATGGAGATATTCAATTTAGAGAGAGACTGAATTCTTTTTTCATGTGAACAAGCTTTCTTTCCCACTTTCGCTCTCTTTAAATAAACTCAGATTGGGTTACAGCCTAACCATGGTTAGGTCAGTAGATATTGTTGGGTGTTTTTTTGGGTAAATGAATTGTTAAACCAAAAATATCAAGATCCTTAATTGCAATTTGAGGGGACCACCGGCTATACCCAGTTACCTCAAGGCTTCTTCCGGTATCACTGGAATTCGAGTGACAAAAATGATTAAAAACTCTTAAAAAAATCAATGGAGATTCATGGCTCGGCTTACTGTAAACGACTTGGATCCGCTTAAGCTCTACGTGGAAAGGAAGTTTCAGTCCACCATATATATTTGCCTCCCTTAAAAATGTTTTCTTTTTGGATAATCGAAACATATTTGATAAATAAAATGAAATTTTGTTTTAGTGTTCACCATATATATAAGTCTATTTACATTAAAAAAACACTATTCACTATATAAGTCTAATTACAGAAAAGTATTATTATTATAATAAGTAGATCACATTTAGTTAAGATGAAAATGCTTAATAGATCAATACACTGAAATCATCAATGAATATTTTTAACAAGATTGCCTAAGAACATAAAATTGAAAAATCGTAAACCAAAGAAATGTAAAGAGAAATAGAAGATTCCATGAAATAACCCTCGTGATCTACTATACTAGCCACTACCTAATCACAACTTGCTAGATTATGATTTTCTATCTTTTATGGACCAATTAGTGGATTGAGATAAATAACATGAGATAAAACATATTTGGAATACGAAGATGCTGCAGGAACATACCAATACTTTATACGGAGTTGGATAACCTTCTTTAGACTATATCTAGTGTGTAGAAGAAACAAATATTTCGGCTATCTATGAGACAGTTTATGTGAATTTTTTTAAAAATTGTTGTCAATCAAATTGATCGTCATTCCAGGTATATCTATAACTTTTCTTACAACCTTTAAAAAAAATTATAGTATATGTTTAGATCCATATAATTTAATATATCCCTGTTGGTACGTACTCTAGCGAGTGTGAGCATGAGGTGACATATCTTTTTTGTATAAGGTACTAGGGTAAACCCGCCCTACGGGCGGGCGGATAAGTAAGTGAAAAATAATTAAAATATATTAGCTGGTAAAATATAGTTAAAATAAATATCCCTTAAATTAAAGTAATATTATATTGAATATTTTGTTATTCTTGTTGAAAATCATAAGTTTGTTTTATTTTAAAATTATTATGATACAAATGTCATTATTTAATATTTTCATCAATTTTTATTATTATTATAACCAGTAAGTTAAATACATTAATTTATTCAATTAAAGTTCAAATCCAACATATAAATTATAATTTATTTCTATCTTTAGTATTTTTTCTGAATAATTTGAGACTTTTAGTTTCTTATAAAATTTATTTTATACATGTTAGTTTAGATAATAAGTAAAATTAAATAATTGATATTTTTGTAATTAGTTAGATAGTACAAAAATATATTATTTATAGTTACTATATAAATTTGGAGTATATATCAATTAAACATAGCATTCAAACAGATAATTTTTTTAAGAGAAAAATATTATTGTTATTTAGTTTTCAGAATATAATTAGTGATTGTTTTAGTTTTATTCTTTTACTTTTTTTGTATTTGATTTGTTAATGTATATAACTAACTTATTTTATTAACAAATTTACTATAACTTATATTATTAAAATATATCATTTTACTTTTATTAAGTATTTTAGAATCATTTAAAATATTAAATTATGTTTGCAAATATATTTACGATGTAATTTCAGATCAAGTCAAATTTGTTCATCAAAGGGAAACGCTTTTCACAAACAAAGTCTGATAGTAATTCTACCGTACATACGTAATGAATTAACAAAATAGATACACTTTGTGTATGAGAGAGAGAAAGGGAAACTAAAAGCATCTTGAAACAGTTACAACAAAGGTACGGGAAAGCCAAGAGATGGATACAATGTAAGTCTTTCACTGTTGTCTTCACCAAAGCAAGATTGGAAAAAAGTGGGCTTCGGGAGAGAGATGATACCTTTTCAACTCCTTTTGCATATCTGGAATAAGAAGCTCTGCATCACCATGAAGCAGCTGAAAAAAATACTAAAAGCGCATCATACAATAGTTTAGACCAAGTAATATAATACAACTTTAAGAAGCATAGTACAACCTTGGAGGTTTTATGGCATGACGGATTTCATCAGAAGCAGAGCGACCAAGAGCAACCTAAATCACTTAATTTGAGCCAAGAAAGAACCAAACTAAAAAATCAAAGACTTACCGTAACATATATTAATTTCAATTACATTCAAGCAACACCCATATACTCATAGTTATAAAAAACAACAACAAAGAAACTGATCTTCCATTGTGTCTAAACTCCTTGAATTTGATATTTCTCATGTTTTCAGAAGAGAACACATAGTCTGAAATATATTTCTTGACAGCTTCTCTGATTCAGTTTACAATACTCTGCTTCTGCTACCTTCCTTTCTTCTTTGTCTTTGACAAAGTAACTGCAATAACAACAAAAAAAAAAAACAATACCTTTATGAACCACGAAATCAGTCATCAATTGATTAGACAGTATAAGTAAAGGTTTAGGCTTTATTCCAAATGGTTCCTTAGAAACCCTAAACCATTGACGGCATCTATAGAAGAACAAAGGAAGTGACTGAGAGGAATGAAGTAATGATTTCTGGCTAGGAAACTTACATATTTGTAGTGGAGGATTGAAGCGAAGGATTCAATAGGGGACTCATCGATAGATCGTGTGAGTAGTGGGAATTGGTGTTAATGTGATATTCAATGAGGATGCATGAATCCAACCGACTTCCATAAAATCCAATCAAGAGTAAAAGAAGTGGAATCGAACAGCCAAATACGATGTCTTCCAACTGACCTTCATCGGGTTTCAACGTGGCCGGTGTAGTGTTCATTGGCCATAGGTCTGAACTGGAGTTGTTAAAGGCGGCGGCACTGTAATTGGTTTGTCGGCAACCTTTTTTGGAGAAGGATCCACCGTAATTCAATCTCAAAACCCACATCGTAAAAGCCCATAACACATCAAACAAAATCAAGAATTGTTTGTTTTAGAGTTGGACACGTGTCATCACCTAAAAAACCTATTTAGTGACGTGGCATAGGCTAGAGGGAGTGAACATTTCTTTATATATATAGATAGCGTTTCTACAATATCAACAAAATTTAATTTAATATATAAAATCAACTGACAAAAATTGCTAAATTATTATAAAGGAAAACTAGAATGACAGTGGCGACAAAAAAAAAACTAGTATGACAGTACCTAAATTGTGAAGAACAGTCAACTGTGTTTAGCATGTTATATACTGTAAACTACTGGTATCGACGTATCGTTTGTGTTACAAAAAAAATGGGTATCGTTTTGTTTTATTCGCATAGTATCCCTTTTTAAAAAGCAGCGATATTTGTCGCTAATCCATCTAAGAATTATTAAATTAAGTTATAGGATGATGACTTTCGAGGCAATGCAGAAAAGAAGATAAGAGCTGTTAGCCCTCGGTGTCGGTGACAGCAACAAGAGTGAGTTTTTCGTTTTGGTTTTGGCTATTTGCTTCTTTTTTTTTTTTTTTTTTTCAACATTTGCTTCTTTTTATTATTTTTACCTATTTGGCTATTTGGTTCTTTCACCTCCGAGTTTCTAAAGCTGGATATAAACCATTGGTATTATTCTTAGGATACAAATCATGTGACATGTTGATGCTAGATCACTCACAACAGATCCGAATTATATTTTTTGGAGGTCCATTAAACCTTTAAACTTAAGATTCATTTTACTTGAATAGTAAAAAACTCACATTTTTACTATATTGTGATGGTATAATAATTTTCACTGGATGAGGAATCATCATCTCGATCCAGGTCAGGGATCAATTCCCTTTAGTATGAAACTGTTAATTTCTTATGTGACTATGTCGCGTGGATCTCTAACTTGCACGTATAACAATTGGATTTATCTGTTATCAGTAGATAAACTCTTAGCAAATTAGTCAGTTAAGTCTAATCCAACGAACATCCTTGATTAATCAAAAGAAAAAAGGCCACATTTTACCATAAATTTGCTAAAAGAGAAAGAAGAAGAATGTATATTTTCAAGTTCAGATTCTAAAAGAGAAGAATTCTTCTTCTTCCTTTTTTCTTTTTTGAAGAATCTCTACTTCATAAGATAGTTTCTAACAAAAGATAATTCTCTGTGAACACTATAATTGTGTACTTAAACAAACTTCATTCTAGCGCGTAATCGTACTCTTTTTATTTCATCATTTTACAACAAAAATTATTGGGTGAATTGGCCTGTAATCCATAAAGAACTTGGATATTAGCAATATGCCATGGTTTTGGGAGAAAAATAGTGAGAGGGGGAGGAGAGATAAGAGAAAAAAAGGGTAGATAGTTAATTTAGGGGTTTAGTTTGTATATGAGATGCAAATACTCAAAATTATTTCACGTATTTTTAGTCACCTTTTGAAACACACAATCTTTTATTAGCAGGATAATCCGGTTTTAAAATTTTCATATAAACTAGACAGTCATACTATTGTACTTTTAATTATATCATTCATAAGTTTTTATTTATTTTTAATTTACATTTCAACCCTAAGTTATTTGAACTTACCGCATTATGCAACATCTTTCAAACAATAAAATGTGACAAATAACTATGAGCTACATAATTATTCAACATCTTTCAAACATAATTCATATTTCTATTATATTCATCATCCAATACATTTATGAGCTTGTGTTTCTCCAATGAACGAGTTGAAAAGTATCTTTATAAATAAAGTACAGTTATCTTCCTCCACAATCCTTCACATCATTTTTTACATTGAGGCAAATTGCGCCACGTCATCCTATCAATAACACACTTTCGCTAGCCAAAACGAACCAACAAATCGGCTCAATAAAACTAACCCACACTCTATAATCATCTTCAAAGTCCATTTAGGTCCAGTTTTCTTTACAAACGTCATCTTCTCCACCCTTTTATTTCGTAGCGCCAGTGTGAGAACGTTTCCATAATGCTTCTAATCCTCATTAGATAATGTCATTTAGAGTTTCTTTTAACTCTCTCCAGTCATCTCTCCACCTTCCCACCATAGGTTTGCAAACCCCTAATTTTTAACGAGCGACTTCTCAGGTAATCCTTCACCTCTACATAAAATTCCATTCCGGATTACAGACCACCATATTACCATTCCATTAACACAAATTCATTCGCATAAATGTCTCAGAAAATGAAATTCACTGTTGCTGCTTTCTCTCCAATATATATTTTTTTTGCTAACTTTGATCGTGTTCTTCAAAGATGTTGTTTCCAGAGTGGCTGAGGCGAGGTTAATTTTCAAGCTGATTCATTGAATCTTGGAATCCATCAGAAGCTTGGATGCTAATTACTCTTGAGCTTCTCCTGATCAACGAGAAGGTACGGACTACGGAGTGAGCTTTGAAATCCCCTCAATTTGTCCTCCGCTTATACTTATAATCCTATCAGTTAAAACATCCACATCCCCTTTGTTATGCAAGGAATTGCCGCACCTAATCGTGTACGCCATTGAGAAGCTTTTCTCAACATGAGCTCCACCTCTGTAGTCTCACCAACTTCTTCGCGATGAATAACAAAGGTCACTAATCACATATACACGATTTTCTTTACACACATCTTCTTGATATATGTCTTTCTTTACTGTCTCATATCTATTTAGAAAGTTGTGACAGTTATAGATCTTCGAATTGGTGAATCAAGTTGAAAGTGCTCTTAAGTATCTTAATGATATCAAATGGAATTTGATTGTATCTTCAAGTTTTGATGAAGATGAGCATATCCTTGAAAAGGCCATTGGGTATGATCTTTAGCTCTTATCTTGTGTTTGATGTTTTTGTTTCACAAGACAGAGCAGTCTTATGGATCGTTAACAATTGTCCACAACAAAGATTGAGTGATATCCTTCAAATTTTTTGACTCAACATATCCTTAAAAAGAAGCTAGGGAAGGGATCTAAAACACAAAGCCAATCACTTAGACTGAAGACTGAGAGTTTCTGCAACTTCTTCAGTCAACATCAAGTTCTCGAGGACGTCGATGATACTGATGATGGATAGGTATGGGCTGTAGCCTGTATGGCCACCCCTAAAGCAATTTTAATTTTAATTTATGTGTTAATAATTTGTTATTTCACAGGCTGAAGAACTCCATCGCCAAATGGAACACGTCTTTGACATCGTGCCTGCACCTTTTTGTTTCATCTTCAGTTTCTTTGCTTTTTAGTTCAGTTCTAGGATCTAAATCTGTAGATTGTGTAATCTGTAGATCAACCATTATAGAGAAAATCATCTCTCATGTTGTGCCATGGTTTGCTGGTGAAGTTGTTGACGCAGATGGCCTTGAGATGGACGGCGATGATGAGAATACGGAGATGGTGATTAGGATGTGGAAGGGAAGAAGATGAGGAGGAGGACGTCGATGAAGGGGATGAGCAAAGAAAGAAGAGTATAAAAAGGTACTAAGTGATTATAACGGTTTTACATAAATTTCAAGCCTCAGAAAAAGATATTGGTGGTTTTACTTTGTTTTGTTGCTGTCATCAGCTGGGCATAAGGTTTTAACAATCACTTAATCTCGACCGTAAAGTTCTATTTCTTCTTAATTATTTAAGGGCTGTTTTACTGTTTTTAACCTGAGCTCTTTTCTCTGTGAACAAAAGTCTGGAAGCAGTCAACAAGGTGAGAGGCCACTGGAGTGCAAGCAACAGTGAGTAAACTTCTTATGCGGTGAAGAAGATTGGATTATTTATAAAGAAGAACCCGGTCTTTGTGTTTAGTAACTTGCATAGTAATGGTGTGGTTTGTATGATATATCATATTTTGGAGGGTGGTTAACTTAAATAATTGGTTATTTGGTTTGGGTCTAATTTTTCATTTGTGATGTGTTTCTGATTTGTGATCATCAACCACTTTGAACAAATAGTATTTGTCGCTTTGTCGTCTACGTAAGGTAAATATATTTTTACAGGTTCTCTCCATTTGTAAAGAAAAAAAAGTGTACTTTTGTGTCCATCTAACAACTCAGGATCCAAAACAACTATCAATTGAATATTTTTAAACTTCACTAATCTCAGCTTTTTTATTTTTCTATAATGGCGACTGTAGTTTTTTGCATTGCACTAAGACACCAACGAAGTTGAGAGTTTTGGAAAGAACCTCACAATAATGTTCTCATTTATTTATTTTTCTCTGTTCCTTTTTTTTACAATAGTTTTTAGAATAAAAATAAATTTTAAACAGAGAAATTTTAAGTAATAAAAATATCTTAAAACACTTAAAGTTCTAACTCAGAAATGTAAAAAAATAAAAAGAAATTAATAAAAGTACTCTCTCATATAAAAAGGTTATAAGTTATAGTATTAAAAGATTTAATGCTGCCAATAAAAAGTTCCAGTAAAAACCATTATCAATAAAATATGCCAAATAAATATCATAATTTTTGTACTACTGGGCTAAATTGAGAAAAATGTAGAAAGTAAATAATATTTATCCTTTTGTAAATTATATTATAACTGTAAATTATTATAGATTATAAATTGTTACATTCCGCGCGTAGCGCAAACAAACCACTAGTAATAAAAAAAGTTGCGTTGAGAAAAATTTGAAGCGGTACTATTTATGAAAAGTCATACAATATTTATTATAAAATAGAGGTAATATATAGAAGAAATAATTAAGATCTGGATAGTATCGTAACTAAAATCAGTATCCAATCACAAATGTGTGTACAATGAACTTCTTAAATAAGAAGACGAGTACTTTGGCAAAAAAAAAAAAAAAAAAAAAAAAAGAGGAGTCAACCAGCTTGATGCGTTCACCGACAAACGATGAGACGAAGAAGGGAATGTGTTTCCACCTAATACTACATCGTATTAACTCCAGAAAAAGACTGCCGTCACCGAGAGAGAGAGTTATCCTCGTGCTTATCCATAAAAAGAAGAACAAAATATCTGCATAATTGCTACGTCAGCAGAGAAAGATCACCGGCAAGCACAGTGCTTTCAATGTTGGTGGTTCAATTGAGTTAATCTCTGTTTCACTGTCTTTGTTTAAACTATGTTAAAAAAAAGATGTGTTGTCTTTGTTTAGGCTCTTGATCAGCAATCAGCATGTGTGTCTGATGATATTTTCAAATAGAACAAAACCATTTGAAATGACTTGGAGGTGTCCTTATAAGATCATATCAAGCAGATTCAATATTAGAATGAAAGTGATATCTGACATGCTTTTTCTTCTTCTAAGAGTAATGGAGCAATGGGGATCGAGTTGCAGCCAGACTCGGTTTCTTATTAGCACTTAGCAGAATCTGAGTAAACGAAGTAGATTGGACAATGGGCATCGTTGGTAACAGGTGAAGCTATGGTTTCAGTGGTAAAATGGAACCTTTTTCTTTCTTGTTAATGTTGAAAACCATACAAGTGTGTTGTTTCATGCCAAGATTGTTGTCAAAAATTTTCAGGACGCTAAAACAAAAACGGGGTGAAATCAGTGGTGGGAATATATCACAAACGAAATATTCGGTAATGGTTTTGGTGGAAAATAATAATCGATCTATATGAAACAAATTGAGGTGTATTTGTCTACGTACGTGGTCCTGAAGAGAAAGACATTGACCTAAAAAGACAGAGACGATACTAGATGCAACCCATGTCACACATTTTTTTTTTTCAACCAAAAAAAAACACACCGATAGAGCAAAGGATTGTCCGGAGCACTCTTAGAGAAACAAGATATTCTCAACATGCTTGCCTCTACTCGTACACAACATTTTGTTGTCACCATCGATGGGATCATAACCCAAGTAGTGGTACATACGTATCCTGTGAGCATCAGCATTAGGCAAATAAATGGACCGTCTAGTGCTAGGGTTGTACACCATAAGCTTAGAAGGAGGTCCATAGCAAATCAAACCGTGGACAGGTGGAGTGATGGCTGTGTAGGCTTGAGAATGTATTTCAAATGGTAACTTGGTCACAAGATAATGATTCATCTCCATCTTGGCCTTGACTCCACGAGAAGAAGAAGCGTTTACTGTGACGCCTGCTCTTGAATGTGAAGATGAGACTTTGAGGACGAGTTGACGACTTGATCAAGTACGATTTCACAAAATCTCCGTTGCGAATGATGGATCCCCAGGGCTTAGATACGCAAAGGAATCTTTCTAGGGTTTTAACAGGCACATCTTTGAGTATCTCAGGGATGAGATTAAGCGGAATTGAAGCTTCTCCGCTTGTTCTTACGTCATCAGAGATGTTCTTATTCTTTGCAAGCTTCGACTTCTGTCTTTCCATAGCAGTAAACAGGGGAAACGGCCAAAAGTCAGTTTTCTTTTTGTCATGACAGTCAGAAAGAAGATTCGTGGTGAGGGGCTAAAACGACTAAAATTTTGTGGGTTACTGATTTTAAAGTTAAACATCTTATTTTTCCATATATATCACATGACTTCTAATCTATTTTACTATATATAATTTTAATATGTAAGTGTTATTAATTGACCATAATAAGTGTCAGATATTAATAAGATTTAAAGTTATAAAAACTCAAAAGGAAATTAAAATTTCAGGAAAAAAAATCAAAACAAATTTAAAATTGACATCACCAGCGATATGTAGGAACTTAACACAAAATAATTTAATGAAAGCAAAAAAAAAAAAAAAAAAAACAGTCGAGAATAGAACGAGAATCACACGAGTTATGTCAATATAAACTTTGTAGACAAATGTTTTGTGATAATGAATCGTAGTGATGGATGAGTTAATACCATATTATTATTGATCATCAACAAAGTGGCTGTAGTATAGTGGTTAGTACCCCACGTTGTGGCCGTGGAGACCTGGGCTCGATTCCCAGCAGCCACACTTCTTTTTTTACTTGTAGGGGTATTTTCGTTATCTGTCCCTGTCTGTCACCATAGTTTATATCTGTGCCGTCCATGACAGCCTTCTCAAGTTCAATTTTCAAGGATCGTATGATTCGACACACATATTCGGATGCTCTTGGCCTTTTTATGCTCCAAAATCCCTGCACCCATCCAGAAAAAAAATAGAAAAGATTATTTGAAACATTGATGTGACTCCACCTGTAAAACAAACTCAAATCGACCTTTTTTAAAAAAAATTTTTTTTTTTTAAATCGACCTATTTCATTCACACAATGTTTCAATGGTCCTATGTCAGAGGTTCTGTTGGGATTAAAGATCCCACATCGGAAATATGAATGGGACATGAGTAATATATAAGGGACTTGGGCCAATCCACTAATTGCCAATTGGTTTTAAGTTGGAAGCCCAAGAAACTTATCATGGTATCAGAGCCACCCGATGCTGGGCCACTCCGTGGATGTTGTTCCCACAGTTGTCCACGCATGAGCGTGAGGGGGAGTGTTAATGAATGAAACTAAGTCCCACATCGGTAGTTGGAAATATAATTAAGTAATATATAAAGGGTTAGAGCCAATCCACTTATCACCAATTGGTTTTAAGTTGGAAGCCCATAATAAACCCGAATTTAACATGGTATCAGAGCCGGCCCACACCCTGGCCCATTAATCCGGCCCGGAAAGTGGCCCGATCAACCCATTAGCTGATGGCCCATAGAAGGCTCAGTTCTATCGAGATTGCTAGAAAAAAAAAAAAAAGCATTGTCTCGGTAGGGGTATGGTGGATTGTGCGAGATTAATGGTTATACGCACCATTATCTCGAGGGAGGGTGTTGGGATTAAAGATCCCACATCGGAAATATGAATGGGACATGAGTAATATATAAGGGACTTGGACCAATCCACTAATTGCCAATTGGTTTTAAGTTGGAAGCCCAAGAAACTTATCAGGTTCAGTTGAATTTCTCTGCCCTTTCACCGTCTTTGTGTAAACTAGGTAATAGATGTCTTTGAGTTTGTGTATATAGTTGAGTCTTATAATAAAATGCATTAGGTTTAGGCCTTGACGATGTTTGTATTCGGTGATGTTAATAGAACAGAACCATTTGAAAAGACTTGGATGTGTCCTTATAAGATACTATTAAAGAGATCCAATTTTAGAAGGGTAGTGATGACTTTTCTACTTGTAAGAGTAATGGACCAATGGAGATCGAATTGCAGGCGAACTTGGCTTGTTACGGAACGTTAGCAGCAAAAATGATTCACGCAACATTGGTTTCATCTGAGGAAACCAAGTAGATTTGACAATGGCGGCATCGTTGGTAACAGTTGAAGCTAATGCATTGTGGTAAACACATGGGACTTGAATCGTGTGTGTGTGTGAGCATGAAAGGCCAACACTATGAAGAGGTTAGAGATTGGGGAAAATCTCCACATAGTCATCTGCTTTGAGAAAGAAGCCATGGAGGAGAAAGAAACATATGGAGGGGAAGTCAACACTCTTGTTTACTAAAGCTGAGGTGGAGGAGTAAGGCAAGGCAAAGACTATTTTTGTTAGAGGCTTTGTAGTTCAGTCACTGAACAACATGAAGAAAGAGTGGTGTCTCTTTGTCTACTTACGTGGTCCTAAAGCTAAAGGTATTATCCTAAACCCTCAAGCCTCGTACCTACGAGAACACTTCAGATCAAACCGAGACTGTTTCGTCACCCGTTGCTACAAGAGAATACAGTATTGGAGCACAAGGAATATACAACAGGTCGAATCTTTTTATATCTGCAAAGATTGAAAATCAGAGATTTGGAAAAGTTGGTTGATGCAGATACTGAGGGATCTTGGAGTTAGAACGATGAAGATGAATAATCCAGCTAATTAAGTTGGTCTTAAAGGCTATGTTTAATCAGTCTCTGGTAAGGAAGGTTCCACTCATTAGTCCTCCTAACTGCTTTTGCGCGCGGAAAAGTATGGCCGTTATTTGATTCCGACGGGAGTCAACACGTGTCTCCTTCCCTTACCGATTAATTTGTTCTTTGGTTATGTTTTTGGTCCCTAAACCATGTGATCCGATTTTTCTTTCAGACTACCATAATTGTCATAATAACATTGAATATTTAGTATATATATTTTTAATCTCAATTTATTTTTTTTCAACCAAAAAATTGTTCAATAAAGTCAAAACTAGAATTCAATACGATTTGCAAAATTTCAACGAATTTTTGTTGAGAAGTTCTTCTTCGGTCGCTTTGAGCATTTATTGTCCCTAAGAATTTTAACAAATGTCATCTGTTTAATTAGAAACTGGTTTTATAATAAAAGAATATCTGTCATGATAAAATAAATTACAAAAAATAATTTAATTTAAAAATATTATAATTCTAATTACATACAGTAAGCATTTGTACCAATCTATTTTGCCGATGTATTTTCATTTGTCTTTGATATGTAAAAAGAAAAAGATTTTATCTTGCAACAAGGTAAACAATGAGAATTCGAACTGTGGTATGTAGATTACATACAAAGCCAGAACTAAAGCACAAAAGCTTTAAGCACGACTAAAAAAACAAGTTCTTTTCTCTCGACCAAAGAACCAGAAAAGGAAAGAAACTTAAAAAAAAAAAAAACAGAACCGTTATGTACGATCATCTTTCTCACCGGTATAACTGAATCAAACCGGTGATGGGACGAAAAAGATGCTGAGTTCTTGTCCAATATTCCCAGCTGGATCAATCAAATGAAAAGATTCAGATTCCTTCGAACCACAAACTCTTCTGAAACTAGCTCTCAAATACATCAACTCATCATCGAACCTTCCAAGTTCTTTCCCAGTCACAAGTCCAGCTCCCACAACAACCTTACTCAAAGCCGTTAACGCAGCCACGTCATCTTTAGACGGACGGCGCTTTCTTGCATACCCAACTCTCTTTCCATTACAAAACATGTTCCAAAACGGCCTCGAAGAAACAGAGTCACCCTCTTGTTCTAGGTTGTTCCTTTCCAAGACTATACGCAACGCTCCTCCTCTCATTTCCCGAGCTAAGACCGTTGTTGGAACGGCTAGCTCGAGGAGAAGCTCAGGGTTTGTCGATTTTCTTGGTGTTTGGATACAAAAATTGATTTTCCCTTTACGGTATCCGAAGATGGTTCCAGTGACTGTGGACGAAGAGAGGGAAGAAGAGGAACGGAAAGAGGAAGTGCGTGATTTGATGTCGTTGTAGAGATTCTTGCTTCTCAAGTTAGGGTTTTCTTGTTCTAGTTCTTGGACTAATGTGGAGTTGCAAGTTGGGATGAGAAGCTTAATGATTGAGCGGAGGAGACGCCATGATTGGACTTGGTTCTGGCAATCTACCGTGGTTACCACTGGCGATTCAAAATCCATTGAAGCTATGGATTTGGTCTTTGACATCTTTAATGCTTTGAGAAAGCAAATAAAAAAAAAATCCCAAAAAATGGGGGAAAAAGTGAAGAATGAGAAGATGAAGTAGCTTGAGGGTTTGGTGTTGAAGTGTTATAGGGTTTAAATAGGGGAGACAGAGGAGGGGGTTTACGTATGCATACCTTTTCGATATTTTAATATAGTAATATATTAATGGTTTTAAGTTTCGATTTTAGTTTTATTTTCTTGAAAAAGTTTATTTATGTTTGGGTTATGAGAGACAATTTGCGAGCTCCGGTTTGTAAAGTGTTATTCGTGTTGGGTTTTTGTCATTCACCCAAAAGATTCCTTCTGAATAGGTGGAACTACTATTTAACACGTACCATTTTGTATGTTTATTATTGCAAATAATGTTATAAAAGACGTCAAATAATTGGTTTCTTGACCTTCATAATTGTTTGACATCTTTTTTCAGGATTTGTTATCATTCCTATATATTCATTTTTCAGAGGAATTTTGCTTCAAAATATCGGATGTACGAATATAAATGCGTTAATCATCTTAGTATCGACCGCGTTTCATGATGAAATTCACCAATTTTGACATAGTAATAAAATATATAATTTTTTAGAAAATAATAATAAAAAATTAAAAGATAAAAAATTATTAAATTTAAATTTTTTTATTTTAGATATTAAAACCTAAAACAGAAAAAAATAGTCAGTCCAAAACAGATGATCGCATGCACATGTTTATGAAATCCACATCATCAGAAATGACGAGAAATGATCAAGTATGTTTAGCTTAACATTAGTAGGTCATTAGACATTGTTACAGGTTATGATGAATTAAAAATATCTAATTGAATACGGCATAGTATATTCGAATGTTTGATAACATTATTAAATTTGAAATACGATCATGATAGATCTGGTGTATTCCCAATATAGTAACATTTTTCTGGTCCGAACGCATCTGAACGCATAGTCCATACTATATAAGAAACAAAAGGCAGTATAGGTCGATTAATATTAACTGCATCTGAACTCAAATGAACTATTGACGGAGCTGAGAATTAAGGTTCCTACTGTTCAATCCGTCTTTTGGAGTAATACTCCTTTCAAATTAGATATATTATATTGGATTATCAATTTGTTCAGGAACAAGTTTAACAGGGCCATTATGTGTTGCTCACATTACCTAAGCAGATCAGCTATTTCTTATCTTTACCAAGATACTTCTTCGCTCCAAATTTCAGAACTTATAAGTCAAGATTATGATCACTTTGTATATACAGTAGATTCTCTATAAATAATACTCGATAAATTAATAATTTTTATAAAATAATAAATTTCATCAGTTCCAACTTGGATCGGTGTAATATATGACACAAATCGATAAAATAATAAGATAATAATATTTTTAAAACTGCCATATAAATATATTGTCCCATTAAAATCATAAACTAATAATCTATCTATATATAGTTTTATATAAGTACAATCTAACATTATTTTGTTGGTTTTATATTTACAATAAAATACTAATATATTTTGATAATATTTAGTTAAATTATATCAAAAATTGAACATAAAAATATACACCAAATTAGATAACAAAATAATATAAAAGTAAAATTTCTAAAATTTAAATAATGTACTTCTGCGAAAATCAAAATATTTTTTAACTTTATAAATAACAATGAAAAAATAGAAAAAAAAATCTGAATAAGGAAACTTTTGGTAAATTAATAAAATTTCAAAGTCCTAACATTATTAATTTATAAAAGTTTTACTGTATAACATTTATGTAAAACCAACTAATAGATAGTAACCACACAAGCATGGTCGAGTAGCAATATAATTATGGGTCTGTAGTATACGTGTTAACAAATTTTTTTAAAGATTTGCGAGTAGCCAATTTCGAATCCATCACCTATGTTTCCCTTTTTCATCAAAATTACCATTATGCTACCTACAAAAATTGTTTAAGTAAGGACCTATAAAATACATATAATATTTGAGGCTGGAGGCTCAATCTTCCAATGCTTGGTGTCAGAGCCTGTATTGTCGAGTAGTATGGCAGACTTGAAAAGTTGCTGAGCATCATGGGTTCGAAACCAACCATCTCAGATACACATGTGTGTATGGATAAGCGACATGGACATCTAATTCCCATTACGAGCAAACGGGTCATCATACATTAGTGTGAGGGCCTTCAGGGGATTAGTCGACTTGACCTCAGCATGCCGGATACCCCTAGTTATAAAACAGAGAAATGTTAGGTTTGAGATGATTGGCAAGGAGCATAACACGACGAATATGTGAGTGCACCAGTTGAAAGATAAGGATCATTACATGGTGACTATCTGAATGCAGCGCAGCAATCGAGATGACCCGTGAGACTTGTCGGAGACAAAGCCGATCCTTCCCCAAAGCAACACATCTTGTCGGATTCACAAAGAAGACTGGAAATATTTCTATCGAGATAGAGGTGGTGAGGGAACTTTGAGGAGAGCACGATCTGAACATACAACAAGTTTCTAAACCTAGATACCGAGTTAAGAGTGGAGCCCTACAGATACTAGTCATCAGATTGCTGGGAGTTATCGAGGTAAGGTATGCTTGCGATGGGAGTGAATGAAATTGCCAGAATGGGTCTTCAGACAGGACACTCTTCGTAGGAGAGATTTCGGAGCATAGGCTCACAAATCTGAAACATAACAGAAACGAGCCAGAATAGAAATAACGGTGAGAAAAGGTGAAACAAGAACAAACTTTCCAGAAGCCTCAGAGAAAATTTTGGATTTGGTGGACTCTGATGAACAACCTGAAACGAAAGAAGAATTCTTAAGTTGTAACGAGTTTGGCATCAGAACAAAATGTTTAAAAATAATTAGAAAAATGAACGAGGAAACAAGCTTTCAAAAGAATCATAACGAAGATTGTGAAGGTTGACACCGACAGCAGTAGCTATGACACTGAAAACTGATTCAAAAACAACACATTGTTATCCTTAAATGATAGTACCATTCCTACAATTTTTTGACAAAATTAATCCTACGATTTCAACCGTTACAAAGCATTTGATGTTAGATGTGTGTAACCCCAACCATTCACAAACGCTAAGTTAACAGAAAACCAATTACAAATAAAATTTACTCATCTTGTTAACTGGCATTTACTACTGAAACGATGATACCATTGCTAACTTGCAGTGACAAATGACTATCCAATAAATATGCATTAGTCTTAAATCTCATTATGCCTAAAAATATCAAAAATATATCTACGTAAGAAAATATATATTGGGATAATATAATCTAGTTGGTCATAATGTACATAAATAAATATTTGAGTAGATTTTTAAAATATAATTTAATAATAAAATTGTTTTTGATTTTTCTACTTGTTCATTTATAAAAAAATATAAACTGTTATACATTTATCTTTTCCAGAATTTTATCGAATTCTTCAAAATTTGATCATCTTTTCCAAATTCGCAATTAAATAAAGCAAAACTAATAAAAATCTAGTCCAAAGAAATCCAGCAACTTCCATAGTCATTGAGCATAAATCCAATCCTAAACGAAAACTTTTTAGCAATCAATCACAATGACAATAATTCATGATTCAAAACCCTAAATATTCAAATTATTAGATCTTAGATATGAAACTTGTAAATCTGAAATCAACAAAAGTAAGATAAGTTTTAAATTCGAGCATATGGCGAGGAAATACATGATCAGAAAGGAACATTTTGCTTCAATTTTTAATCTATCTCTTTTCAGTTTTCTTTTTAGAAAAGGTTTGTCTCTTTTCAGTTTATTACGTTTTTAGTGACAACAAATTTGTTTATCCTATTTTTTAATCAAAAATAATTTAGTCACCTATCAGTTAAAATAAGGGCATACTAATAATAATAATAATAAATAATAATTTATTTGAAAAGTTATATTTTAAAGGTTAGAGCTTAAGCAACGGTAGATTCCCATATAGAGTATCTCACACAAGTGTTTTAATTTTGTTATTAAATTTGAAGTAAAAAATAAATTAGATGAATAAAGAGTTAACATGGAGTAATAGTAAAGTATTTTCACTTTTATTTTCAAGCTTCTGTGTATAGAAGTTTTCAACACTCTCATTTCTGTGGTTTTAATGTTTGTAACTAATGCAGTCATAAAACTTTTTTTTAAGAATCTATCGTTGAGGTTGTAAGTTTCGCTTTAAATAAATTATAATATGTAAAAAATAAATACATATAATTATTATTTTATTTTTGATTAATCTGGAATATTTCAGACTTATGAAATAACACATACTAATTTTTAATGGTAGGTGTAGTTAATGGATCTTCTATTCGGATATTTAAATGGCCAAAATAGTGATCATATCCATATAGTTATCCAGAACATTGTGATTTAATTTCTTGTAGATAAATCGAATCTGAAACATATTGACTTCTCAAATCTTTCCTCTTACCATTCAATCATCCCGGACTACATGATTATTATTGCTGCTTTTTTTACTAAAAGGGCATGATTATTGTTGTTAACATAACTCACAAACGCACAGGCGTATTATTTGTGGAGATAACAAATAACGATACACATGATGATTTAGAAAACAATTATCGATACATAAAATAATGTTGTTAACATGATGCACACGCATAATCAGTCTATAGTTTTCAGAGAAATAACGATAATAATCTGTACACACACTGACACACACGTATGAGAGTGTATAATAAATTATTAGTTTTGATAAAATGTAAATTTTTTTTTTGAGAAAAATAAAATGTATATCTCGACCACATGTATCCAACTACGGATGGCGTCGAACTATAAGTTTAATATTAGCATACATTTGATCAAATAAAAAGATCAAATATAAAAACTTAACAAGGGAAAAGAGAACAAACTGAGTAGTCCAAAAAAATACAGATTGGCTGAAATTATTCTCTAATAATAATACATCCTGCCTTTTAATTTATCAAAATAAAAACATTTCAGCCTTTTTGCCTTTTCA